CCTCATATGCCTCACAGAGCTTTGCCTATTACTCCACATATCCTTTTGAAAATGTATGAATTTTTTGATATTTCTAATCCGTCTGATGTAACTTTCTGATGCTGTTTTTTGTTTGCCTTTTTTCTCATGGTTAGAAAGTCTAATCTAGTTCCAACTTCGGCAAAGAATTTTGATCCACGCAAACAATTATGCAGAAATAACGTCATTGTTTATAGTGATTACTTGTTGGTTAAAATGGAATGGTCAAAAACCATTCAATATGGTAATAGGAAACTTGAGTTACCATTGGTTTAGATAAAGGATTTCCCGCTTTGTCCGTATAATGCTTACAATTGTATGTGCACTCTAGTACCAGCCAATGCTGATGACCCCGCCTTTTTAATTCCACAAACTAAAGGCAATAAAATTTTATGTTATTCATTTTTTCAGAAAAAACTCAGAGACATTTTAGAAATGTGTGGGTTAGATTCTTCTAAATTTTCCTCTCATTCTTTTCGCAGAGGAGGGGCTACATGGGCTTTCCACAGTAAAGTTCCTTCTGGGTTAATACAATTTCACGGGGTTTGGCGTAGTGATGCTTATAACGTTTATTTAGAATTTGATTTACATGACAAATTGTCTATATCACGAGCTATGGCTGAGGAAATTCCCATTTAATTTTTTTTTGTTATTTTTTGGTAGACAATGTGTCAAAAAATAAGGTTTTGTTGTTGTCAGATTCTACTTGCAAATACGTAAATAACATTAACTGGCTGGAATGCAATGCTATATCTGGTGCTAATATATACACACTTCATCAATTTGTGAAAGACAATAAAGCACTGTTGAGAAGATACACACACTTGTTATTGCATGTAGGCACAAACGATTTTGGGAATGGTTTATCCAGCAAGTTGATTATTCAATATTACAATAATTTAATTGATTTTATTTGCAACACTTTACCGTCTTTAAAGAAAATAGTTTCAGCAATTTTGCCAAGACCCATAGATTTTGTTGACACAAAACAAACTGTTATAGATTGTAATAAAGCATTGGCGAAGTTAACGTTGAAGAGAAATATTTTATTTGTTAAACTTACAAGCAATTTGTTCAGCAATCAGGATCTATCTATAAAAACAAATGTTTTTGTAAAGATAGATTATATTTAAGTTATTTTGGCGTTTCTGTTATACGAAACTTTTTTTATAGGTGTAGTTAATCATTTGTAATTAGAATATTGTATTTACATGTACTTTTTTGGTCAAGATACTTTGTGGTTTTTAACTTTATTTTCAGAAGATGATGGTCAAGAAAGCTGGGCTAGACCATTACTTCTACATCTGGTTTACCTGTGAACCTCTATTAGTTTGCAGGATTCCAGTATTTGTTGTTTGTATTATCAGGTATGTTTATATTATAGTGTAGTTTTTATTTAACACTGGACACTTTATAATGGCCGTTGGTTTGGTGCATTTATATATTTTGGAAGTTAATATTTATAATTAATAAGGACTTTAAATGAAAAATTATTTATGACATATGTATGATTGTAAATGTTTATTTATGCCAAAATATGATTATCATTACTTATGTGTTGAGTTTTGTTTTACTTACATCGAAATGGGAGTGGAGGGAATTGGTAAATTTTTAATTAATTAAAAATGCTTAATTCCATCTCGGATACTTTCGACATAACTCGTTACCTGTTTGTATGCATAATTCATCGTTCGTATTTTAATCTCCTCTGATTGGTTGATAGAAATATCTGTTCACTTCTGGCAAATTTCATATTCCCTTGTTATTTGAATTAGTTTACTGGTCAATTCAACACGTTTAATTTACCCACCCTTCCGCCCATTTATATTTTTTTTTTGTATTACTTGAACATTTTTGTACATGCATTAAATCTTATTAAATCGAAGATGTTAGTCTTTTTCAGATAATGCAGATTGCTGAATTTGATGTCTTTTTGGGATGTGACTGGTGCATTTATATATTTTAGAGGTTAATATTTATAATTAATATGGACTTTAAATTAAAAATTATTTATGACATATGTATGATTGTAAATGTTTATTTATGCCAAAATATGATTATCATTACTTATGTGTTGAGTTTTGTTTTACTTACATCGAAATGGGAGTGGAGGGAATTAATAACATTTCAAGTAGTATTTGTGCATTTTTTATGAAGATAATTATGTTTTCTGAAAACCTAAGGGTAGTTGGTTCACCGTTTTGTTATTGAAGTAATATATGATAAAATGTGTCATATATTTATTTGGAAAATAGGTTTTGTTTTAAACATTATTTGAAAAAACTGTAAACATCTCTTGAAACTTGATACCGATAATATTTTCATTTCAATGATTTTTTGGCATTTCTCATTGGTAAAAAATATTGTAATTAGTTTTTAAAAAAGGGATGATGAAGCTTTACCTAATTATTTATTCAACTTATATCTGTCAGTTAAACATAGCTGTTATCATCTCATATTATTTAATGTAAACAGGAATTAATTCATCGGTATTTGAACGAACATTAACCTAAAATACATAAAATCCCATAAAAAAAACAAAATAAGTAAATATATAGTTACAAAGGGATATATATGTTTTGTTGTTAAATTTTGATTAAAACATATACTAATCTTTATAATACGATTTTTTTTATATACAAAGAAGGGCATTCAAAACGCAGAAGTCGAGACAAACTGACAAAATCATGGATAAAAAAGGTTAGACGACGAAAATACTAACACAATCCTCAACAAAACCTTGGGATGATCTCGGGGGTTCCAGAAGGATATTCAGATCCGGCTCCGCTCCTTCAAACAAGAAACAAGAAACACTCCTTCAAACAAGAAACAAGAAACACTCCTTCAAACAAGAAAAAGAGATATACAATAAGTAAATAAATTGTTATGTTCCCTGTTTCAATATTTAAAAACCAAAAACAGATATTTATAATTTGAAGTTCAGATGGTAAATAAAAAGTAGTATTTGTGTATTATTTCTATGAAGGTAATTTTGTATCCTGAAAACTGAAGGATAGTCGTTCCCGCCCATATCAATCGTAGTATTAAAATAGATGATTAAATGTGTCATATTTTTAGTTGGAAAATAGGTTTGGTGTTAAATAACTTATAAAACTGTAAACAACCCTTGAAACTTGATACCGATAATATTTTTAAATTTCAAACATTTTTTACATTTATCATTGGTCAAATATGAAAATGTGATTTGTTGAAAAGCTTTACACAATTTTGTAATTGGTGTAACTTATACCTGTCAGTTGAGGATAGCTGTTACCATCACCATTTTTCAACATCAACCTGCGTGGAAATATGGTGTCGTTTAAATGTACTACAAAATAAGAGTTATTATCGGAAAACATCGAGACAGAAAATCTGTTTCCCCTTTATGATAGGACAAAAATCTTTTCCACCAGACTGTTAAATATTTTTTCTATTCTAGCTTCCCATCTTACATTGTCCTAATAATAAACTAATTAACACCTAAAAAATAAAAACCACAATCAAGTACGGAAATCGCAGTTTAACCATTCAGATAAAACAATATGGATGATGTGGAACTACTTCCTTGTTTCGGAGAGAGTAAACTAGTTTTCTTTCGCTTGTACGTACAATGTAAATAAAAATACATATTCTATGTGAACAAGATAATACGTCACTTGGTTTAATGACCTTCTATTTGTCAAAACTAGACATGTACGACCCTTAAGTTATCAAACATATACGTATTTATACTAATTATAGTTGTAAACATTTCTGATAGCCCACAAAGTGTTCTTAAGTTCATTAAAAACCGCAACCTCTTGTTCATTGTAGAAAAAATAGTTCATTGGTTGCGTAATGTTTTAAAAGTACAGGTATCTGTAACGTGATTCAGATGTGCATTGGAATAGATTATTACTTTTGAATGACTAAATATAACAAACATGTGAAGAAAAAAATATGAATAATTAGTAATCAAATGGCAATTTAAATCTAATATTAGTAGCATTATTTTCATTTTGTTTCTCAAAAATGTACCGATTATTATTCTTATATTCAATTAATGTTTTTCCATAGAAAGTACAATGGATTTTTTCTTTGGAAATTCACAATTAAGAAACAAGATGTGCTGTGTCAATCTAACACATATTAAGTAACAAGCTTGCTGTCTGTTATTTACTTGGTACTTTGCCTGATAAATGCGTTCGAAGTTTCATTTTTGATTTTGGCTTTACTGGTACATGTTGGTTTTTTTTTTTGCGATGCGAACAACTAAAGGGAGTTATTACCGAAGCTTACGTTGTATGTATAATAACGTGATATGTTCTATGATATATTTTTTTGAAAATACATTTGATAAAAAAACACAATTATTCTGAACCGCAAGCTCACTTCGCAGTTCTTGCCAACATTGAGCAAAAATGTATTAACCGAACAAATTAATAATTAATGCTTTGTTCGTAACTTTGTTAACCCATTGCACATGTTGCATTAATGTTTTGTTACATTGTACAATGAGGTAACAGGCTACAACATTCCCTTTAATTCTACACTTCAACAAACTCGTTTTCTTTGAGAAAAAATAAGATGTTTTCCCCACAATTTCTCCATAAACAAGACCTTTTGTTGTTTTCTTACATTTCTTGTTGTCAGTTTTACAACTTTTGGGTTTCAAAGTTTTTCTTATAACCTTATTCGTAAAATAGAGCAAAATTCGGTCTTTAATGCATATAAAGAAATCAAAATATTTGCAGATTAGACTTATCATACATTCTTAAAAGAAAAATATGGCTTAAAGAAATGATTAACCTATATATAATATTTCAAGTTCACATTACTTTTTCTCTATAAATAAACTTCCATAACTCATATAGTCTTAATATATTTCTTTGTGTATTTCTTGTAAATATATCTTTGGCCTATCAGGATTAAGACGTATAAGTGAGGTGTGTCTATTTCTGTCATACAATTTATCTTGTTTCTACTCGCATTTTCCATTTTTATGAAAATGATTCTATCATGAAAATGTTTGCTGTATATTTTTGTTATTACTTGTTTATAATCATTGCTCTTTCTCAAAAATCTTTTGGACGAATTCAGTGTGGAAATGGGGAAATTATTTCATTGTCAATGTTTAAGGACTGCCATTTGGAAATTCGTAGCATCTTGGAGTTGATATGCAGTTTATCTTCTCCGAACGCAGAATTACATATTGCTGGTAAGATTTCATAAATATGATGACTTAAAACTCATTAAAGATACCAGGCTTACCAGTTGTGCACAACACACAAGTTTCTTCTACATAAGACTCGTCAGTGGCACTTGAATCATAACAGTTTGAATGCCAAATTAGATACATAGGAAATTGAAGAAGATTTAAAACCGAAAATTCCAAAATACAGCGAAGATATTTTATTCCTGGGGGTAAAACACACTTAGTGTTTTAAATAAAATTAACCCTGATACTGCAAATGACATTTCCATGATAATCATAAAAAAAATGCTTTCGTTCAACGATAAATCAATTTTATACTTTCCGCTTTACATGTCAGTCAATTTTGGTTGAAACTTTCATGGTTATTTCTTCAAATCATGGACCGCTTTCCTTATTTCTTCAAATCATGGACCGCTTTCCTTATTTCTTCAAATCATGGACCGCTTTCCTTATTTCTTCAAATCATGGACCGCTTTCCTTAATCCATATTTGAATGAATTTTAAAACATATGGTGTTTTTATTTTCTATGTTACATTGCATTTAATGAAATGGTATGAGTGGCTATATATTACTCAATGAGACAATATTCTAAAGATAGAATAAAATATCGTTTGTCAAAGGGTAAAAGCTTGTTTGTGATTTTATGTAATGCTAAAAGAGAGGCTAAAGATACCAAAGGGACATTCAAACTCATAAGTCGAAAATAAACTGACAACGCCATGGCAAAAAAAGAAAATGGCCAACAGACAAACAGCAGTACATAAAACACAACATAGAAAACTGAAGACTGAGCAACACGAACCCCACCAAAACGTGGGGGTGATCTGCTCCGGAAGGGTAAGCAGATCCACAAGCTCCACATGTGGCTCCCGTCGTGTTGCTCATGTTAGTACAAACCCGGTGATAAGTCTAATTCGGTAGGTCACATTCGGTGAAAAGGGGACGGAATTGTAGTTACGACAATTGGAACATATCCGTTAAGGATTTATTAAGTCACTCTTCGGCAGTATTTAGAAATATAAGCCTATTTCAGTGCGGATTTGCTGAAAAAGTATTTAAAAACGTTGTATAAAAAGTGTCTTCTTCCGACCCAATGTATAAGCCCTCTTCTTTTTTTATTGCACTCTTGTGTTTCTATATAATTAAAATTAACAATTAGAAACAGGTATCATTTAGTAATGGTGTTACCTATACATTATATAATTGAGAAAAGAAACGGGGAACTTTATATGTTGCATTGATGAATTAACTTTTAAACATTTCCCGGACATGTTAAAAACTATATCATTTTTATTTCAGATGTTTTACAAGATAAATTAAATGCCACAGAAACACTTATTTGTGGTTGTTGTACGAATGCTTGTAGTTTAACAGAATTAAGGAACTACTGCTGGTTGCAGAATACTTAGCTGTGACCTTGTCATGAAATCTGGATATTTATTTTCAAATACAATAGGTTATTAGAATGTTCTTGAAAGTTTTGTTTTAGCTGTAAAATTTTCATGATTATGTATTTTTGTATCCTTTTTCCAAAATTATACATACATTGTACGTTCATAAATTTACAATAATAGTGTTAATTTCCCAGGTCAGCATTAATATAAATAAAAATGCCATAGGGTTATCTTTGGTATAGGGTTATACATCATATTTTTTTTAGATTACTTGTTACCTTTTAAATACAACTTTATGGAGAAGAAACAACAACCATGGTGTACAAGATAAAACTATTTAACATTAGGCACTGGCTTGACCGATAAATATAACAGAAAGTGCGTAATGTTTTATTTTTCAATGTTGCGTTACATAAGGAAGTTTCACTTCGTCGCGAATAATTGATTGAATGTTACCTACTTAACCCCAGTTTCAATTTATGTCATGCATATTCCGAACGAGAACAGATTAACAATCACAAAATGAGTATGTTCTGCAAGATGGGAAGACCGGTAAGAAAGGTGGGAAATTTAGACTGCCACTGGAAAATAAGGGTATGTTAAATAGGCATAAACTTTTGTCTGAGTCTGAGAGTTGTTACAAAGTTTCGAAAACGAGCAGCGAGTGTGGCATTCACCCTACACGGGGCATCGGTTATTATATAAAAATAAGAAGATGTGGTATCATTGCAACTTTCCACCTGCGACCAAATGACGTAAAATTTAGCAGCTAATTGCCACCGTACGGCAAAGAAAATGAGCAAAACGCATACCGCATAGCAAGCTTTAAAAGGCCCCGACATAACTAACATAAACTAACGGCCTGACTCATGTACAAATCAAGAAACGAAAAACATATATTATATAAAGCAACAAACGACAATCACGTCAAGGCTGGTGTATTTTATTATTTTTACAGGCTCCTGACTTGTGACAGACAATTACAGTTACGTGTTAAACATGTGTGTGAGTGTCCAACTCTCTCCTGAACAGTGGTGCAACAGCACAACACAAGAACAAACTGTACCCCTAGTTTTAGGAATGTAATCTTGAAGTGTTTTGATGATTTCAATGCAAAATCGCGTCTCGGAAATACATCACTGCATAGGGTTTTAGTTTTATATAAATTAACCCCTCTCTAAGAACTCACTTGTTCCGTTGTTTTCCTCTTATAGTAGATGTGTTTACCTCGGTTTTTGTTTGTGACCCGGATTTGTTTTCGCTTAATCGATTTATGACTATTGAACAGCCGTATACTACTGTTGCCTTTATTTATAGTGTAATCGAACCATTTTTAATCGTTTTAGTATCGGTAGATACTCAATGTAATAGAAGTTTAAAAAAAAAAGACAATTGAAAAAATTCACAAAATCAAAAATTCAAACTACACAGATGTATGGACACACAAGAAAAGAAGCGAAAAAGGATTCAGCTTTTAAAGTTCAATTGTTAAGCAATTCAAACTCGTATCAAAACGAGGTTAGAACCACACGGTTGACATGTGAATTACATCCTATTGCACAGTTATAACAATACGAGATATGAGGTATATGTCGATGAGACGGCAACCAAAACAACAATTAAAATACAAAAGACATCTAGGTCCAATTCCTTAAAAATAGACAATTGTTTTTAGATATAACAGAATGCAATCACTGAAGGTTAGGATAAAATAAGTCAAGGCTAATTAAAACATTTTAGAAGAAATATTTGTGACGTAAATTTGCTGATAATAATTTTTAGGCATGAATTATCATGAGAGCTGTGTCCTACATTTTTTCGAACTAGATGTGTATAAATAGTTTTATTTTGTTGTGCTTTGACCAACGGAGTGAGAAAATATATATTTAATAATAGTACGGTGACAAGTAAGGTAAATCTAAATATTTAATGGACCGAAATACCTCATGGCTAATTTTGGTCTTATTTTGAAGATAAACATAATACCCTTTGATTAAGGCATGTCGTAGAGTGCCAAAGTGGTGCAGTTGTTTGAAATCTGTGGTCAAAGGTCAAAAGGGGGGATTTTAAAAAAATCGCAATTTTTGGACATTTTGGACAATTTCTCGAAAGTCCCTCATGATAACTGACAAAAATTTTCTGCATAAATGTCAGCATGAACACGATAGTATATGATCTTTTTAATGTTCGTGAGTCAATCAGTACAAGAGCAATTACATATTGAAAGCTTGTGTCCCCCTTTTTACAGAACAACACAAACATTGGAATATATAGCAGACATGACTAAAACCGATATATGTGAATTACAAACAAACACGATTAACAGAGATATTACGCTACAAAGGAAGCCGTCTAGGTATATATTTCACTAACACTAGACATATGCACGTCCATTTGAAAAGGTAACGGGACATAAGACAAAAATATGTGGATGTCATGGTATGTAATACTTCCGAAATATTCGATACAAAAATATTCCCAGTATGGTTTGAAAGCGCACCAACCGAGGTCAAGGTCCGAGATAATTGTTTGGTTTTGGTTTGTTTGGTTTTGTTTTGTTTTGGGTTTTTTTTTAGAGAGAAAGAAAAAGATAGAGCTGCCCAACCATATCTGAGGCCCCTAACAGCAGAAAACATGAAATATTGGATCAATAGTTCAATCATCATCCTTATCGTAGCAATCTTCTAAAACAATCTGACGAGTAAGCTGGTTTCTACAATCACCACTGCCCTGACAACAACAAATGCTGGTGCACGACAAATTTTGTTCGTAGCATAAGCAAGATTTGCTACAAATAGTTTTGCGTTTACATGTGCAAACAAGGTACTGTAAAAAGTCAGAAGACATTGGATTCAAAATATACTGAAACTATAGAGCTATTCCCCATATATATATTTAAAAGGTGATCTAGGTGATGGTTTGGCGATATAAGCATTCATCCAGACGTACACTTAGAGTGAAACTCTAAGAACGTGCTGTCTGAATGATGCCTCTGAAGGAGTTAGTCTCACTAAGGAAGCTCCTTTAGAAAGCGCCGACTTCACTCTTGAGATTCTTTGGATCGCCATGTACTGATTAAGCATTGCGTCTGGCGACATATAGATCCGCGATGAATTGACTTTTCACTGTAACAGATGTGTCAATATTAGAACCAGCTAGATTGACAAACTTTGATATATGCATGGGTTTTGTTTCGACGCCTTATAACTGTCTTTTTTGACAATTCCTATTAAGGAAGACGTGTCGCATCCTGTACGTTAGAGCGTAAGCATCTGGAAGTGTGCCAGACATCAGAGTTCCAATAACTAAAAATTAAGTTGCATATGTCGTGAACAGGTAAAATCCATCTTGCATCTTTGGTTGTAGAAACGCTTCCATTCTGAAACCACAAATCATTATGTTTGACATCTGAGGAAAATATCTTATTAGAAATAATACATAAAAAAAGTATCTGATGATTTTAGAATAATGCGACCCCTGGAATAACTGTTTACCATTTTTTTCATTTGCAAACAGAGACGGCAGAATAATTTTAACATCTGCCTCTTCAGTCACTTACAGATCCGGCACAAATTGCTTCACTGTCTATAGATTTTGAAAATATCCCGCTAGGATCAATGTTGTCCACGACACACTCAAAGTTTCTAAAACAAGCTATTAGGGTTTTAAAGGCATCCGTAGCAAAATCTCCAAAACTGTTGTACCTTTTTACATAAGGACTTTGTACAATATCCATACCATCTCCGAGCAGGATTGTACTGGTTTTTAATGCAGGGATGTCACACACTCAGCTAAAGGTATACGTTTTCGTACAGTATCACATGAGAGTGCATTGTAATCATTATCCATATGAAAATAATTGTCATCTACTAACCAGGCACAAATATTTATCAGAGGTATAGGAATAAATTGTAAAGTTGTAGGAATAGATAGTAATAATCTGAAATTTCTAACGATCTTAAACTGCTTTTCACAATTTTTTCCGCATTATGAAGGGTCTAGAAGAAAGTAACAATATGTATCTGGCAAATTCTACGACTACGAAAATGCTTTGTTTTCACAAACAGATCATCATGTAGACTTTCTGCTAGTTTTTGGAAAACAAGAGCATGCTCTGACTGTTTTGAGGCATCAGAAGCAAGTTATTTTTTTCATTTCAGCCGCATGCTGAATGATGCAGCTCCTTGTCTTTGAAGTAATCTATGAAGAGTAGGCTTATCGCTGGATAGTCTGACTGGTAATTTGCGACATTTAAAACATAACATGCATAATCGACACGCTCAAATGACTCGACATGCCTTATCTCGTTGTATGACTTTTGTCTGCAGAATAAACATTTGAACCAGTCTGATGGTAATGCTATGGAGCGTGTTTTAACGCAAGTTAATTCATCATCACACGCTGTTGAGCATTGGTTTTTCCATAATTTAAATGTTTCAAAATGTATTCTTCTTGTACACGTATAGGCTTTATAACACGACCTTTGCTACTTTACTTGTTCTTATTTAATGGAATTAGCACTGCCCAACGTTTTCAGGATTAATGCGGATGTGTTCCAATGTGGTTTAAAATTAGTTTATTTGAAAAAACTCAACAAGAATAAAAATACCCCAAAAGTTATTAAACCTTAACATCTGTACTTATTCAAACATCTAGACACAAACATTGATACAAATCAATATTCTTATTTACAAAAATTTAGAAAATGCACATTTAATTCGTGGTGAAAAACACATCAATTCACAAGTCAAGGGAAAGTAGGAAAAGGGAGCGCACATGACTTATTGAGGTGAATATTGAATAGTAAACTGCTATATGATGAGTATTACAAAAGGGCTTGTAAAAGTTGATGTGTATGTTCTATCATCTGATACATTACTCTTTCATTTCATAGCAAATATTTGCTGATATCTTCATTCAGAAATTAATTATCAGCGTTCCCGTGTTTCAGAATAAAAAAGAAAAGAATCGGAAAATCACGCTTTATCGCGATTTTACAAAAAACTGCACCGTGGGAAAACTCTACGACAGAGCTAAAATGATAGTATAATGTTTACTCTATCATCATTTGGATTTTCAACCGTGAGGTAAGTCGGTCCATTAAACTCTTACAATAAAAGACTTTTTCTTGATTTGTCACTCCACTATAAGAGTAAAAACGAGGAGAGCTTTTACAATAAAGCTAAACATATCGTGGAATTATGATATATTTGAGCACTCTCGGCGCGGATAGTGAAATGTTTGAATTT